GGATGAAGTGAACCATTTTAGAAAAATGGTCAACAACCATTAGAACTAGGAAGTTCTACAATTAAATCCATAGACAAGTATGACCATGGGACCTCAGGAACGGGAAGAGGTTGTAACAAGCCACAAGGGAGTTTATTAAGTACTTTGGAAACTGCACAAACAGAACAAGCCTGCACATACTCCTTAACATCCTTCCTGAGGGAATCCCACCAGAATGACCTCATGATAGCAGAAGTGGATTTATTAATACCTGGGTGACAAGCAGACACCTTGTTGTGAAACACCTTCATGATATTAACCCTTTCCCCCAATGGAACGAACAATTTGTCCTGAGGTTTACCACAGGGCGCCTGAGACTGAGCCTCCATGATGGAACCAAGCAGCGGAGAGGACAATGAAAGGATAGTGGAAGCAATGATACATTCCGGGGGAATGATATGGGACTTTTCTTGCTCTTGTATAGACTCAGTGTCAAACTGTCTGGATAAGGCGTCAGCCTTGACATTTTTAGAACCAGGTCTATAAGTAATAAGAAAATTAAAGCGAGAAAGGAACAGAGACCACCTAGCTTGTCTAGAAGACAATCATTTAGCATCTCCTATGTAAGCCAGGTTTTTGTGATCAGTAATGATCAAAAGGGGGTCCTTGGAACCCTCTAAAAGATGTCGCCACTCCTTGAGAGCTAGAATAATGGCCAACAATTCCCTATTGCCAATATCATAATTGCGCTCGGCAGGAGACAACTTTCTAGAGAAGTAACCACAAGGATGCAATGGAGTATCCTGGTTCTCCCTCTTGGAGAGAACTGATCCTACCCCTGTCTCTGATGCATCAACTTATAGTATGAAAGGTTTACTGGTATCAGGATGTATCAATATGTCAGCAGAGGCAAACCGCTGTTTGAGAGTTTCAAAGGCTTCTATAGCCTCCTTAGACCATATCGTACATTGTAGAACTGATTCCAGCTTTTTAGGATCCATCTGAAACCCAGAGGCAGAGATATTATATCCCAAAAACTGTACTTTAGATTGGTCAAAGATGCATTTTTCTAATTTACAATAAAGTTGATTCTTTAACAAGGTCTGCAGAACTTGTCTAACGTGATCATGGTGAGTTTGAATGTCAGGAAAATAAATAAGGATATCATCCAGATAGACCAAGACAAACGAGTAAATGTAATCCCTGAGTACATCATTTATGAAATCTTGGAAAACCGCTGGAGCATTGCACAACCCGAATGGCATCACTACATATTCATAGTGTGCACTTTGAGTCTTCCACTCGTGGTTTTCCTTGATCCTCACTAAATTGTAAGCACTTCTAAGCCCATGTGTGGGAGCTTGCGGGTTATGTGGCCATCTTGGGTCACGGTCAGGCTCCGCCTCCTGTATCAAATGATTTTTAAGAACCTTAAATTGGACTTCAAAATTCAAATTAAGAAACAAGTTATTCTTGATCTAATGAATTCGACCACTGGAACAGATTTAAAAGTATAATGATTAAGGGGCATTATCTGAAGAGGCCACAGCGATCTGGGACAAGAAAGAGTGGAATCTTGTAATAGGCTTAGTGTTGAGTTAATGGAGGGCCCACAACATAATGTATTTTATTCAACACCTAGGTAATGGCAATCTTTGTTCTACTAAAGCACATGCATAGATTGAATAGTATCATCAATAAGGAGCTTTTCTTACCTCTGTATCCATCAGCTGGTTCACCTGCAGGCAAATGGAAATAATATTGAATGTCAAATCCTTTATACAGGGTCTTCTTTGAGGATGTTGAAGTCTGGTAGCTATATTCATAATACAGATCCTGTACAATTTGATAATACAATTGGTTACTGATATGTATTTTTATTGTCCTAAATCCACTCATACATTGCTGTATCAAAACAATCAGCCTGCAAGTTCAATAAAATATGTCTATTGTTGGAATAAAATAAACTAATGGTTACATTTAATCTTTCTGCAGTGTCATCAGCCCCCTCCCCTCAACTCAAGATATGGAATAACAGATACTCATGTAAACTGATAAGAAAGCAGCCAGCACTGGGTTGGAAGATGTGAAGCAGGAGAGACTTGCACATTGTTTTTATTAACCCCTTAAGGACGGAGCCAAATGTACACGTTGTGAACAAAACAAAATGTAAACAAAACCTGGCATTTGCGCTACATGTCTGTCCAGCCGTAATACACCTCTTTCATAGTAAATGCACCCACCCTTATTATATATCATTTTATTCAGGGGAAACAGGGTTTTCATTTAATATCAAATATTTAGCTATGAAAAATAATTTAATATGAAAAAATGGGAGAAAATACAATTTTTTTTTATTTTTTTAGTTCTAAATGACATTTTAAAAGTCAGTGTCATAATACTGTTTGCTTTTACTGCAATAAAATACACATATTTGTATTTAGTAAAGTCTCACGTGTAAGACAGTACCCCCTATGTGCAGGTTTTATGGCGTTTTGGGAAGTTACAGGGTCAAATATAGCACGTTACATTTGAAATTGAAATTCGCCAGATTGGTTACGTTGCCTTTGAGACTGTATAGTAGCCCGGGAATGAAATTTACACCCATAATGGCATACCATTTGCAATAGTAGACAACCCAAGGTTTTGCAAATGGGGTATATCCAGTCTTTTTTAGTAGCCATTTGGTCACAAACACTGGCCAAAGTTAGCGTTAGTATTTGTTTGTGTGTGAAAAATGCAAAAAACGCCAATTTTGGCCAGTGTTTGTGACTAAGTGGCTACTAAAAAAGACTGGACATACCCTGTTTGCAATACCTTTGGGTTGTCTACTATTGCAAATGGTATGCCATCATAGGGGTAATTTTCATTCTTGGGCTACCATAGGGTCTCAAAGGCAACGTAACCAATCTGGCGAATTTTAATGTGAAAAAAATGAAACCGCAAGCCTTATATTTGACGCTGTAACTTTTTTGAAAACACCATAAAACCTGTACATGAGGGGTACTGTTGTACTCGGGAGACTTCGCTGAACACAAATATTTGTGTTTCAAAACACTAAAAAGTATCACAGCAATAATATTGTCCGTGTAATGCTGTTTGTGCGTGAAAATGCAAAAAAACTTCACTTTTACTGGCAATATCATCGTTGTAATACATTTTGCTGTTTTGAAACACTAATATTTGTGTTCAGCGAAGTCTCCCGAGTAGAACAGTACCCCCCCATGTACAGGTTTTATGGTGTCTTGGAAAGTTATAGGGTTAAATATAGTGCTAGCAAATTAAATTCCCTTTACTTTCGGCATGGGTTGTTAGGCAGGTCCTGCTAATTGTAATTAATTAAGATACCTAACTATGTAAAAATATTACATAAATATATATGTAGAATTAATATATATATATATATATATATATATATATATATATATACGTATGTGTATATATATGTATATATCTATATAATTTTTTTAAAATATTTTTATTTATATATAGGTATATATATAGTGATATATACGCATATATTTATGTATATAGATATATATATTATTTCGTTCTACTTGTATTTTGATATATATATATATATATTAATTTCACAATACAGTTAGAACGAAATAACACACATCTAAATATTTTTTAATTATTTATTTTTAATTATTTTTTTAATTTTATTTTTTAACGTATTTACATTTTTATTTTTTTTATATTATATATAAATATATATATAACAATAATTATATATATATTTAATCAGTATCAGTCTACGTGTAATTTGATATTAATAGTAAAATACACCTAGACGGTGTACATGTGTGTATGTATATGTGTATATATATATACTTAGATCATATATATATATGATCTAAGTATATATAATTTAATTTTTTTACACTTTTAACTCATTTTAATTTTATTTTCAGCCAGCAGGGGGACCACCTGTCATTACAGGCAGCCCCCCTGCTGGCAATACAGAAGCCAGCTATCCCGGCCATGTGATTGTGGGTCCTCGCAAGGACCCCACTCTCACACGGCCGGGGGGCTTCCTGGAGGACAGACATGCGGCGGGGGGCTCCCTGGGAGTCCCCCCCACCGCGATCGCCGGCGTGGGACCGCCGGCGACCGGGTAAGTACCGAAAGACCAGAGGGCGTACTATTACGCCCGGCGGTGTTTAGAGCCGCCTATAATAGGGCGTAATAGTACGCCCTCCGGTCTAAAGGGGTTAAGGATCTGAGAATAGAAAATGCAATGTTACACTTTTCATTGCCAATCTATGAACCCTCTATCAACCTTGACTAGCCCTCCTCTTCATCTAGCCCAGTCTTTCCATGGCTGCCCAATCACAGACTTCCCAGTGCAACTCAAGGATAATCTTTGCTGGGAGGGTGACAGTTGCCTGGAGAGTTGCCTGCCTCTTGAGTTTAGCCACTCTGAACTACGCTACCAATAATTAACAGGACTGGTGTTCTGATTGACAGGGGCAGGGCTGTTTAAAAAGCATAGATTTATAAATGTGCCTATCTATATTGAAATCTGCACTTTGTAAAATGTAAAGCAAGCTTAAGTGCTTTATGTGTGTGGAGAGGTCCTTTCAGAGTACACTGTCACTTTATGGTGTTTGTGTGTGCTTAATTTTTTACTATATGAAAGATAAAATAGGGGCTTCTTTTTCCCATTAGGGGAGAGATCTTTAATAATCTATATTTTAAGTCTTCATCAACCCATTGTTCCTGTAACATTTTGTAATCGTCTTATCTATTGTTAAATTCCACTCTTTATAATATTGTAAAGCGCTGTGAAATATGTTGGCGCTGTATAAATGATGCTAATAATAATCTTAATTATATTTGGCAAATGGTGGAGTTTAAGCATTTTATTTACAGTTATTAAGCTAATCTACCCACAATCCAGTAGTCAAAAGAACCCCATAAGGGCAAACTGCATTTATCCTTCAAAGATAATTTTTTTTTTTTTTTTTTAATTGAGATCCAAGGCAAAGAAGGAAACCCATTAACCCATTGTCGGTATGCAAGTAACTTTCTGTTATCATAGTGATAGTCTTGATCAAAGCTTTTACAACTCACTCCCAAACAACAACCAATCACACTTCATACGTAAATCTCTCTCCAACCTCTCCTCATTCACAGAGGGCACGTTAATCGTTGGAGGAGATCTTAATGTTCCCCTCATCCCTCTCATAGATTCATCCACGGGACACAGTAGCATCACCCAAGGAGCCCTCCGAAGCATACAGAAAATGCTTAAGAACCTTAGGCTGGTGGACTGCTGGCGAGCAATGCACCCGGCAGACAGGGAATACACCCACTACTCAGCGATACATAAGCGATACGCGAGGATTGACTATATCTTCCTTCAACAGGAACACCTTGGCGCCATCCAAAAAGCAGAAACTGGATCAGCAAGCTGGTCGGATCATGGTCCTGTGACCCTGCAAATGGACTCCCCCAGGGTACGCCCAACCGCTAGGTCATGGCGACTCCAGGACTCATTACTCTTGGACCCATCAGTGAAGGAAACTGTTTCCGAGGAACTCACTTCCTATTTCGCACTGAATGAGACAGATGATCTCCCCGCGACCACGATATGGGAAGCGCACAAAAGTGTGCTCAGAGGTACACTGATGCGCTTGGCTTCTCAGAAGAAGAGAGAATCTCGGAAACATATGACGGACCTACTAACGCGCATAACTACGCTTGAAATGCAACACAAACGTTCCCACCTATAAAGAATTATTTGAAGCCCGAAGATCGAATCGACACTATAGCTCCATACAACGATCGAAGGCCTTCTTCTGCCAACACGCCAACAAAGGAGGGCGGCTGCTGGCCAGAATGCTTAGAGGCCCCCAGGGCATGACCCAGGTACATAAGCTGAGGACATCAGACGGCACGATCACAAAATTCCCGGATAAAATAGCATCCGAGTTCCGCACATTTTACGCCTCGTTATACAACATCCCGGGACCCACACTCCCGGAGGAAGTAACACTCAGACGGGATAGAATAAGGAGTTACATCGAATCACACATGAAGACGAGGTTGCAGCAAGGGGAACCGGAGTTACTGGATATACCGATCACGGAGGCAGACGTGGCAGGAGCACTCAAGACCGCCAAAACGGGACGGGCCCCAGGCCCTGATGGCTTCACCTTGGACTATTATAAAAAGTTCCGAACCATATTGCTCCCGAGACTCACCAACGCATTCAACGCTTTGATAGATGGCGCCCGATTCGGACCCGAATCACTAGCGGCAACTATAACGGTTCTCCCGAAACCTGGGAAGGATCCCGAACTCTGCAGCAGCTATAGACCGATATCACTGCTAAATGTGGACGTGAAGCTCCTCACTAAAATACTATAGAAACATAGAAACATAGAATGTGACGGCAGATAAGAACCATTCGGCCCATCTAGTCTGCCCAATTTTCTAAATACTTTCATTAGTCCCTAGCCTTATCTTATAGCTAGGATAGCCTTATGCCTATCCACGCATGCTTAAACTCCTTTACTGTGTTAACCTCTACCACTTCAGCTGGAAGGCTATTCCATGCATCCACTACCCTCTCAGTAAAGTAATACTTCCTGATATTATTTTTAAACCTTTGTCCTCTAATTTAAGACTATGTCCTCTTGTTGTGGTAGTTTTTCTTCTTTTAAATATAGTCTCCTCCTTTACTGTGTTGATTCCCTTTGTATATTTAAATGTTTCTATCATATCCCCCCTGTCTCGTCTTTCCTCCAAGCTATACATGTTAAGATCCTTTAACCTTTCCTGGTAAGTTTTATCCCGCAATCCATGAACCAGTTTAGTAGCCCTTCTCTGAACCCTCTCTAAGGTATCACTATCCTTCTGAAGATACGGTCTCCAGTACTGTGTACAATACTCCAAGTGAGGTCTCACCAGTGTTCTGTACAATGGCATGAACACTTCCCTCTTTCTACTGCTAATACCTCTCCCTATACAACCAAGCATTCTGCTAGCATTTCCTGCTGCTCTATTACATTGTCTGCCTACCTTTAAGTCATCAGAAATAATCACCCCTAAATCCCTTTCCTCATATGTTGAGGTTAGGACTCTATCAAATATTCTGTACTCTGCCCTTGGGTTTTTACGTCCAAGATGCATTATCTTGCACTTATCCACATTAAATGTCAGTTGCCACAATTCTGACCATTTTTCTAGTTTACCTAAATCATTTGTCATTTGGCTTATCCCTCCTGGAACATCAACCCTGTTACATATCTTAGTATCATCAGCAAAAGACATACCTTACCATCAAGACCTTCTGCAATATCACTAATAAAAATATTAAAGAGAATGGGTCCAAGTACAGATCCCTGAGGTACCCCACTGGTGACAAGTCCAAGCTTCGAATATATTCCATTAACTACAACCCTCTGTTGCCTGTCACTCAGCCACTGCCTTACCCATTCAACAATATTTGAATCCAAACTTAAAGATTGCAGTTTATTGATAAGCCTTCTATGTGCAACAGTGTCAAAAGCCTTACTGAAATCTAGGTAAGCAATGTCTACTGCACCACCCTGATCTATAATTTTAGTTACCCAATCAAAAAAATCAATAAGATTAGTTTGGCATGATCTCCCTGAAGTAAACCCATGTTGTCTCTGATCTTGAAATCCATGTGTTTTTAGATGTTCATCAATCCTATCCTTTAACATGGTTTCCATCACTTTCCCCACTACTGAAGTAAGGCTTACTGGCCTATAGTTGCCCGACTCCTCCCTATTAGAATAGGAAAAATGCTTCTGAGATTGGTCCATCCAGACCAGACGGGGTTCATCCCAGGGAGAGAAGCTAGAGACAGCACTCTTAGAGTGCAATCCATCCATCACCTGGCAAGGAAATCAACAGATAAGCTCCTATTACTGTCAACGGATGCGGAAAAAGCATTCGACCGGGTTGATTGGACATTTCTTGTAACCACGCTATGGGAAATGGGCTTCGGAGAGAACATGATGAAATGGATTGATGCGATCTACCATTGCCCCAATGCGAAGGTGAGAGTGAACGGAGCGCTTACCAATTCCTTCCAGATCCACAATGGGACAAGACAGGGATGCCCACTCTCCCCCATGCTCTTCGCCCTGGCTCTCGAACCGTTCCTAGAAGCGGTGCGCGCATCGGATACAATCCAGGGCTTCAAAAGCGGGGATACAACACACAAAGTAGCAGCATACACAGATGACCTCTTATTTTTTATCACGGAACCGGAGGCAACAATGCCCCACTTAGTCACTATGATCACGGACTAAGGGGAGGTCTCAGGATTCAAATTGAATATGAATAAATGTGAAGTACTTAACATCACCACTCCAACGGCCCAAACATCCGCACTGAAGAACCAATTTCCGTTTAGATGGTGCGCAAACCACATGCGGTATCTAGGTATCGCAATAACCAGAGACCTAGGTGACATGTATCGAGCGAACTTCCTACCACTACTACAACGAATCCAACAAGATTTGAAAACGTGGACATATCCACACATCTCGTGGTTCGGCCGGATCGCAATACTTAAGATGAATATTCTACCACGGCTGTTATATTTATATCAGACGATTCCGCAAGCTCTACCGACGGCATATTTCGCGTCACTACGTTCCGCGATGGTGAAGTTCGTCTGGAGTGGGAAACAGGCAAGACTCCGACAGGAAGTCCTCTGCTTACCTCGAGCATGGGGGGGATTGGCACTCCCTGACCTCCGCAAATACCACCACGCGACAGTACTACAACGCGTCCTGGAATGGCATACTCAACCGGAACATAAACAATGGATCGAATTGGACAAACAACATATAGGCCCCTCCTTTCTGACATCAGTGTGGAATACGAAGAAGATGCCGCGGACGAGTTTGGAACCATCCTCTACCGTAGCGCAAACACTGAAAGCATGGGACTATATCAGAAAGGCTCCTCATGTCTCTCCAACACCGAGCCCGATGACCCAGATACAATACAACCCCCAGATAGGGGGAGGGCTACCACAGACAGCATGGTCCTTCCTGGGAGAGGAGGAATCGTACCCCATACATAAGGTGTTAACTAACGCAGATATGATCCCCCTGAGGGACCTAATAGAAGGCAACCAACCCACTAGCCTACAGACCTTCCATTATATACAACTCAGTACATACTACCGGACACTTCCAGACAAGGAAAAGTTACACAGGGACTTGACATGGTTTGAAACGCTCTGCGATCACAAGACTACTCTAGGTAAAGCGATATCCCTGCTATACCAACACATGCTCGTGGGGCACCTCACTAACAACGACCAATTCCGCAGACGCTGGGAACGCATGCTAAATACATCATTCACCACATCCCAATGGGATAAGATCCTCATATTACACCATAAATGCTCATCGAGCTCCCAATATCAAGAAACCAACTATTAACTTCTCTCATTCTGGTACAGAACGCCCGACAGTCTACACAGGATCTTCCCGAATGTGCCTGACATATGCTGGAGATGCGGAGATGAGCGTGGCTCGCCACTACACATATGGTGGGAATGCTCACTCATTAAGCCATACTGGGTCGAAGTCCTACAGAAAATAGGGGATATCACAGGGACGGAAGGAAACCTCAACGCAGAGGCAGTCCTCCTACACTCAACACCGGATCCCATAGGCACATACAGGAAAAACATTCGTAGACACCTAATCAACGCAGCCAAGGCACTAATTCCACTATACTGGAAACAAATACCCCGACGATAAGACAATGGATGGAGCGGGTGGAAGAAATCTATAGAGCGGAATCAATACAGGCTACAGGACTAGAGGACAAGCATGTGGAGAGGTGGCGCCCGTGGCTACTCTACATAGCGGACCGAAACACAGATAGGAACGGCCATTCGCAGCCCCAAGGAGCCCCAGGACCCCCCACAGACGGGGACTGATGCCTGGTTCGATACATACTACGCCGTGGTCACAGATGACGGGACCACCTTCTCCATAATACCCCTCTACCCCCCCTGCCCAACCACCCTCCACCCAGCTCTCCCCTCCTCATCCCCCCTCTCTCTTTCTCTTACTTCTTACTCAATTAATACTCATCTTCTCTCTAAAACTCTCCAACAATGGTTTCATTATAAATTACATGATAAACGTAGCCCACCGTAATCCGAGATTGCCCACAATTGTGTCATTCACTCACGCTTGCACATCAAAATGGAAACAAACACCTTCATCACGCAATTACACAACACGAATAAGACACATCCCTGAACGACATCTGACCTATGACGACGGACCAATAGACCTTACCACCCCAAAGAGAATGAGGCTCAAGGGTGATAGGGAAATATTAGAGGATCACATAAAACAGACGCAAGGCACAAACTTATGAATATCCCTCTACTCAAGCCGCAATCCGATCACTCATATGTATGTCTTAATGTGTTAAACGCGACCAAATGCCATATAGAAATAATATGTAACATTGTTTGAGTGCTGTTCACACACTTAATGTTGGGACCTGCGAGTCCGTTATATGCTATTTACTTGTTCAATCTATTGATACCTGCTAATGTACAGGGATCAGGGCATACCCTGAAATGCTTATGTTTGAATAAAGCCTTTTTGAAATACAACTCACTCCATGTTTGGATGGAGTATAGCTTTGTTCCATTACTTTTGTGATTGTTCATTTTCTCCACCATATATGATATTGATAATTAATAACCACTTAAATT